GGATTCATGGAATTTCTGAAATATTTATTCTAGATTCATGAGAGAATAAAGCGAGCAAATACGCCGGGGCGAATTATTTATTCGCGTAATTGTTATTCAAGTTGGCGAAATATTACACCGAATATTGATTCGGAGACCGTGTTCCAGCTGTCGTGCGCGCTCATATTGGAATTTTCACGTAAAATAAACAATCACCGCGAGTAGCCAATCCGTTACACGCATTATCTCGTGTCGTATCGCCGGTTACACAGTTTGTTTTTCTTCAATTATACGCGGTGTCTCTGCTCGAAAGTGCCTGCCTCCGTCTCCGCCAGCTCTTTTGCACGTTTCTCGAAACTTTCGGACATCTCGGGACACAATAGAACTCGCTGCGTACACATGCACAATGGCAAAAATTTTTACGAGCATCTCGAAACATCCACGCCATCCCCAAGGACCGAGATTAATATGTAAACCGCTGTCGTGGCTACGACGCGAACAAAAAAATAATTGTCAGGGATGCATTTGTACGAAACACATTTTTCTATTCATCTCTTGAACAGACAGTCTTTCGTGCAAATGCAAATGAACGATTTCGTTCGTTTCGCGTTGCCAACTTTTCAAAAAATTGGCGACCTCTCGCAACGAATTCATTGTCATATATGTACGTACACAACGAAAAGAGGAAATTCGACGCGATATTTAATCGCGGTACTGTACGCACGATAGAAAAAGGAAAATTGCGAAATGAATTTGCCAAAGGATTCGCTTACGTACGCAGCGATGTATCAACTGCTCGGGTTCATTTGCAATGCTAAGAGGTAACAATCTACAGGTACGTGCCGTAAATAAGCTCCTCGAGCAGCTTCCCTCTCGGCCATACATTCATTAAAAATAATTAAGAACGATGTGATACAAATTCAGACGGGCTTTTAAATCAGCCGGCGCTATGTCGCCCGGGCCTTACCGCAGTTTCTCGAGTCTTACGAGATTACTCGCGGAGAGTGGGGGGGAGGGGAGGACAAAGAAACCCTCTCCCCGGCCTGATTTATCATTCCTATTCAAACTTCTTAATGGCCGTATTAATAGGTCGCGGATCGCACAATGGAGTGCAGTTTGGTCGATAAAACTGCTGGGTCGTTACATTTCAACCCGATAGATCTTGCTTACCAGCTCGCGGCGCAGCGATACACGCGTCCATAAATCCAGCCAATCACGAAGTGTTCTCCCATCGTGGCGCTTTCCACGCCATAAAAGCCACGCTTTTATACTCGCTTGCTTATCCGACTCTTCCTCCACCCTTCGTTTCCACTTCGAACGCGATATTTCTGCAACCTTTCCCGGTCGTTCCGCGCAAGATTCGACGATGCTCTGTTTTGTTCCGTGTAATCAGTTGGATCCTGCTCGCGCCGATCGTCGTACATTTTCGAATACAAATGAGCACGCACCACGTTGGCTCTCGAAGATATTGATATTGTGTTATTTCGCGTGTTTTTTAACAAGACAAATTCGAAGATCTTCTCATTATTAATTATATTAATGAGATCGTTCTGTGGAAGATTCGACGATGACTTTGTTCTTCGTAATCGTTCGGACCACTGACGTTCGCGCAATATAATACAATGCAAATGATTTAGAGTACGTCAGGTGTACATTGACTATCAAAGATTAATATTAATATTTCGTCGCATGTTGTTTAAGTTTCTTCTTCTTTTTCTTTAAATTATAGAAAGACAGAAATTGAAGAAGACTTTCGAGAATCTTATAATCTCTTACAATTGTTTTATATTACCGAGTAGTTAGTTTTGCAAGACTTCTTTGTAACAATTTGGACTGACATTCGCGCAATATAATACAATGCAAATGATTTAGAGTACGTCAGGTGTACATTGGCTATCAAAGATTAATATTAATATTTCGTCGCATGTTGTTTAAATTTCTTCTTCTTTTTCTTTAAATTACAGAAAAAGAGAAATTGAAGAAGACTTTCTAGAATCTTATAATCTCTTAGAATTATTTTATATTACCGAGTAGCTAGTTTTGCAAGACTTTTTTGTAACAATTTGGACTGACATTCGCGCAATATAATACAATGCAAATGATTTAGAGTACGTCAGGTGTACATTGGCTATCAAAGATTAATATTAATATTTCGTCGCATGTTGTTTAAATTTCTTCTTCTTTTTCTTTAAATTACAGAAAGAGAGAAATTGAAGAAGACTTTCTAGAATCTTATAATCTCTTATAATTATTTTATATTACCGAGTAGCTAGTTTTGCAAGACTTCTTTGTAACAATTTGGACTGACGTTCGCGCAATATAATACAATGCAAATGATTTAGAGTGCGTCAGGTGTACATTGGCTATCAAAGATTAATATTAATATTTCGTCGCATGTTGTTTAAATTTCTTCTTCTTTTTCTTTAAATTACAGAAAGAGAGAAATTGAAGAAGACTTTCTAGAATCTTATAATCTCTTATAATTATTTTATATTACCGAGTAGTTAGTTTCGCAAGACTTCTTTGTAACAATTTGGACTGACGTTCGCACAATGTCATACATCTGAACGAATGCAAATAAGTATTAGGTGTACGTTATTTCTCAAAAATTAATGCCCCTTGTTACTTCGTGTGTTTTTCACATTTGCCCGTGTATTTTTCTCTCTTTAAATTACAAGACAGACTGAAGAAGAATCTCGCAGCCTCATTATTTTACATTGCCGAGTACACGCGGCGGCTAATTTCACAAGACGGTTGCAAGTGTTGCTTCCAATTACCAATTCATCGTTCGTTCGTACACTCTGCGTCAATTTCGACGCACAAAGGCGCGTGTAGATCTAATTCCGTAGTCAAAAGGGCGACGAAATTCTCCTTTGCAGGCGCTTTTGCACTCGCCTGCATCCAATTCCCCCAACCGGAGGGGAATCGTTTCTGCTTCGAGTCGACGCGCCGAGTTTTCATTGTCGCGCCGACGGAGATTCGACGAAAGTTGGCGCGATTCGTAAGAACGGCGAACGCTAGCTCGGCTAGCACTGACGCGCGCAGCGAAAGAGACTTGCCACTGAATTATGCAGACGGCCATGAAAAATTCGCGCAATGAGCGCCGGTCGCAAGTATGCGCCGAGCGCATAAGGAGATTCGCATTATCGTGCATGTTGGATGAGCGGAGGCGAGCGAAAGGTCGGGAAGAGGATGCTCGCGTTATGAAATTTTGATCAGAAGTGGGGCGGGTGGGAGGCGGAAACGGAAGTCACCCTCGATCTCGTGGGAACGGCTAGTCCTCCAGCCAGCTACCTTTCCCGGAGAGGTCACGCTCGCGATCCGCAATCAAGCTTTCGTTTACCCTCTTGCTCCGCCGGAAACGGTCTCGCCAAGTTTCAACCGAACCTGTGTCCTCGAAAAAATTGTTTATCGGTAACGATAATTCCATCAGAAAACGAATTATACACAGAGTGTCCATAAAGTCTCGTTACAATTTCAGAAATTAATTACAACGGCAAATGAAAAGACAGGTAAGTGAAAATTATTACAAATTGAGACGCATATATTTAAGTTTTCTTTTGCTGCATTTAATATACCGGTATATGGGCATTATTAGTTGCACGAAGCACATCGAGACGGTACTCGATTTCTTACACGATCGATATTTTCCTCAGTCTTGATGTGCTTCGTGCAACTAATAATGCCCATATAGAGGTACATTAAATGAGGCAGAAGAAAACTTAAATATACACGTCTCATTTTTTAATCATTTTCACTTACCTGTCTTTTCATTTTCCTTTGTAATAAATTTTTGAAACTGTAAAGAGACTTTATGGACAGCTTGTATAACGGAACGTTTAAGTCTCTTTTTGGACGTTCGGACGAAGTTGAAAATACTGAAATTCTAATGACAGCGAGTCCAAGGGTGGAGGGAACGTTATAAAAAAATAGGAGAACTTTTACAGTGATTTATGCAAAGATAAAACGTTTCTCCCTCTAGTGCACGGCGGTTGTTTTATAGGAACGAGGAACAATAGAATATTCTATCAATTACATCTCACGCAGAACGACCGTAATACCATCGTGTTCCCTTGGAAACGTCATGTTCGAAAAATTATGCGCGACGGCCGTAATATCTTCGGGTTCGTAAAAAGAGACGGGTCGCCCGAAAGCGCGGCAAGGGAACTGTTCTCGGAGAGATTGCGTACGACGCTTAACGCTAGAACAACCAAAGTGGTCAAAATTGATCATTTCTGTTAGATATTTTTATAGATATAAAACAGCGTATTTTCGGAGACTTGAATGATTCTTCCTCCAAATACATAAATAAAAACTTGCGTACCCTGTTTCATAAGTATTATAAAGATTTCCTGTTTCTATTACTTTGACGTTTGTGATAAAAATTGTATGTTTCGGTCGTCGGTAGTTCCAGTGTCAACGCTGCGAGAATTGCAATTTCTTGAAAATTCTGCAACTGGCCATTGATGCATTAATAGTCGTAATACGAATTTCTCGATGAAATCCTAACTGGCCTACAATTGCCATTAACGCATTAATATTCGTAATACGAATTTCTCGATGAAATCCTAAATGGCCTAAAATGGCCATTAATGCATTAATGTTCGTAATACAAATTTCACGATGAAAACGTAAATAACAATTTCCTTCAATTTTCATTCCTGTTTCCTGCCCGTAAAAGGCATTAATCTTTCATTAACATTCGAATAATCGATCGTTTAACCAGTGTTCCGACAATCGAGGTTCTGTTATAATACACGTGCCTCGATTAATAATAATAGAGCAGGTTATAACGTTATACTGTGTTATTACTATTATACTATTTCTAACTTTTTGTTAATAACATGACTCTCGGCAGTGATATTGCTCGTGCCACGTCTGTTTTAGAATTAATGGCGAAATTAGCGGCGAAACAACCGTCCGCGAAACACACTAGAGAGAGAGAGAGATAGGTCATCGTCCCTTCATAACCTTCGCCACCTTCGCTACTATACTAACAAACAACTTCCCCTCTGTTTCAGGCCGTTGCTGAAGCAGATAAAGAACTCGGCCGAGTCGCACATTGTACTGGATTGCTCCACCGAGAGGATTTACGACGTGCTGAAGCAGGCGCAGCAAATAGGAATGATGAGCGACTATCACAGTTACCTCATCACCTCGCTGGTGAGCCCTTTAATTAAATGAGAATGCAATTGGCCGGTTCACCTTCTCGACTCTTTCCCTGCCAAAATCAACTGCCGACCGATTCCGATGAAATTGAAACACTGTCGCGCCGGGGCACGCGCGTCACGCGTATCTAAACTAATCGACGTTTGCCGTCGTTCGAATTTTCTCCGTGTTTCCCGACTAGTCTTTTCGAGGGACACGATCAGAATTCGGGATCGGGATCGATAAGCGGTTCGAACGAGAAGGAAGGGTGAAACGAAGATTGTCTTCCATCGGTGGCTCGATTCGATGGGAGAACGCTGGAGGTTACACGGTACTCGGTATAATGGAACTTTCAGCGAGCTGCGTGTCACCGTTCACCGTTCACGGTTTGCAACCGTGCACAGTGACGCACAGTGGCACGAAATCGCGGCAACACGAGTTGAATCGATCGCGAATTCATATTTTTCTGGCGATGAACGCTGGAACTACTAAACCGACGACTAAAGTATAGTATTTGTAGCAACTAAGTCGAAGTGCAAGGAAAATGTTAATAATACAATAAAGATGAAATTTCCATAGAAAGTTATATATTGAAATTTAATATTTAAAGTTATATATTAAATTTAATTATTAAAATTTCTATGAAAAAGATTATAAATTACTCATTTTGATCATTGGTAGTTATAGTGTTAAAGAAACGGAGAGTGACTATTTATTGGATGTAATATCCCACGCACTTTTGGCACCATGAATGCTTGTTTCTGTAAAAATTCCACGAAGAAGACAAATATCTTTTTTAACACGAAAGTCTGAAGAGAACCTTTTTAAAAATGAAAAGAATTTGTTAATTTCGATCCCTGGTTGTGGCATAGAATTTTAAAAAATTTTTCTGAAATTCCATTCTTTTAAGCAAATAATTCAATCGCCTGAAATAATTCGCGTCGAATTACAACGTACTAGAATTGCTTACTTTTGAGAAAGGCAACTAACTTATTTCTTTGATCGTATAATCGACAAACCTTTTCCTCAGTTTTTTTAAACGTTCGTATCTATAAAAATAAACAAAAAGGAAAGGGAAAGCAGACGGTCGCAAAACGAACACTTAAACACGTAGCATTTCCATTGGAATAATTACCGTGGCGGTAACGCTACTGATGTCCTGCTTCCTGTCGGTGCTTAATCCTCAAAAGATCTCTCTCACTAATTTTGTTGAAAACCAACTATCAGGGGGGATCGTTAGAGTAATCATAGACTTCTGGCTTCCACTTAACGGTACACCCTTTCATTTCTCCGCGCATTGGCTGACTACAAATTGACAGAAAGCTTCTCGACGCATCTCCCTTTCCCATTTTCCATCCACCTCCATCCGTCTGATATACAAAAGAAACATTTTAAAAAATCCTAAAGCAACATACACACCGCGATATCCACAAATTCGTAGCACGATCAAAGATCAAAGGATTTCCGAAAGTTTCGTGCGCATGCCAAGTCGAGAACAGTTCGATATATATAGTATATTATTTCTCAGAATGTAGAACTACGGACGATGATAAAACGTTGAAGAATCATTGCTCGAAACGTAGAAATGTGAATCTAAGAGGTTTACGTGCGCCAAGAAATGCTAGGCACGCGTTTGTATGTGTGTGTGTGTGTGTGTGTTTAGAGGGAACACGAGCCCCTCGTTCGATTCTCTCGATCACGTTCCTGCATTAATGCACGTGAGAGACCGATCCTCTTTGTAGTTGTTGGCGCAAAGAGAATATCTGGAAGGCTCGAGTAGTCTGCGCGGATTTCTCTGATTCGGATTGTACGGGGTGAGGATGGAAGGAAAAGGGCGAAATCGCCGTCGCAGACGTGTCGCAGAATGGCTGGAGGCGCGATCAGCGTCGATCGTCTCCTCTCGATATTCTTTCTTTCACAACTTTTCCTCCCAATGGCACGTAACACAGAGGGCCAGGGACAAGGGAAATAAAATTCTTCCGTAGATGGATGCGCCAGATCGACATACCGTGTCGCGAGATTCCTATTTCTCCCTAGTTCTCCACCGAGAATGTAGCTCGCGAATCGCGCGAAGATTTCCTCACACCCTCCCCATTTTCTTGCTGATGAAACTTTCAGGCGGAAATCATCTTGTTCTTCGTTTGTTCCTTTCGATGTATACATATTGCACGACAGACGAGACGCGACCGTACTAGCTTATGAAGCTCCGACGAAGTTTACATTCAGATTTGGGAATTATCCGGCACGATGATTTTTCAAACACGCGTCGCGTTTACGTTAATTCGTTTAAATCATCTCGTTTCATGTTGAAGTTTTGGGATTTGGGATTGTGATGTCGCAAATGTTCAAGTGACTTTGAAATTTCAATGCGGAGAGCAGCCACAGGTAAATGATCTTTCGGGTCATTTGCTATTGGAATAAATCGTGTCAAAGTGTAATTGGACTCGCGATACGTAACAATATTTCTCGAAACGAAACAACTTGTGTTTCCACTCGAGCCAACTCTTCCGCGTCGACCACATTTACCTTCTAATTTCTCTAACAAGATAATGCACGGGAGAACGGCACGGCAAATTGAAGATTGCGCCTGAATCGTCAGACGACAAAAATGGAGAAAAGGAAACGGAGAAAGACAGTAGCCGAGACCACTGAATTACTTTATCTTCCGTAATTACCGGTGGAAGAACATTCTATCTGTCCACGACTGAGACGTTCGAGAAATGTTTGCAGCGCTTCGACCGGAGGAGGGACAGTGCAAAAGCGCGTTCAACGAGTTATATCGTGCAACATAACGAAAGTCATCAATCCTTCCGATACGATATCATCATCGCGTAATCTTATCCCGTGCGTACCAACCCGAGAGACACGCTTAATAATTTCGTTTCTTTTATCCCCCTGGTTTAATGCCGACGTCGTTATCGTCGCGAACGAACGATTTGTCCCTGGTTATCTGATTATATCCCATCGTGTTCCTTCCCGATCATCCGGTAGCGAGTCGGCTGATATCGAGTCACGGGATCGTTCGGTGAAGTGACACGTTTGGACTTGGCTTGATCGACGTAGTTTCTAGTTTACAAATGTTATGCACCGTCCAATGTTATTCACGTGATATTTGGCGAATGAATATTTAAACGGCGCGTTATTTGGCTAGATGTTGCTTTGAAATGATTATGGATTAGCTCTTGTTTGGCTTGTTAAGCAAATTAGTTTCGTGTATTTGCCTATCAAATGGAGTAATCTTTATTTAGCTGGTATTTTATATTTGAATAAATGTTTATTGATCGATGTTCGGAAATAATTCTGATATTGTTACGTCAATATCAATAATTGCACACGAAATTTACACGAATTTAAATACGCATTATCCAGAGGTAAATGTTGTTTGACGATTGTTTGAAAACGATTTGTTATTACCATTAATACTAAACGTATCAGCACTTTACGTATCGGGCAAACGGCCGATCATGAAATAAAGGTCCTTTTATGAAAATGGTACAGCTTTAATTGTCAATTTAATGTAGGAAACAGTGCGCGGAATAATAATTTTTTAGTAAGAAAAGAGATTATATATTTTCTGCACGAGAGTTAAATGAACGAGAGAAGTGAGAACGAACGCAGAATTTGAAGTGAAATATTTAAAAATTTCTCACTCGTAGGAACGTTTGTACGTTTAGTATTAAAATAAGGCAATGTCCTTAACCTCTTGCGCTGGAATAATGTGCCACGCATATCGCAGAATTTTTTGTTCCAAAATTCCAATATTTCCTCGTTTCGAGTATATTTAAGTGAAACGAAATAGGCAAAACAAGTGAATAAATTTATTACTTCTCAATCATTTCTATCCAGTGAGATCATACAATTATTGGACAACGGTTTGGTCACTCGTTATGGTCCGCAATCAGCTGCCAGCTGCAAGTGTTTAAAACAAGTCTCATAAATAATTCTAAATCTCACCGTGTCGATTATCACCGTGTGTCTGTGTGTATTGTGTAGTTAGAAACGGAAGTGTACACCCTTCTTTCGTTAGTTTTCACCCTTGATGCGCGGATAAGGACGAGGGCAGCAAGGCCACGGTTAGTTTCAGCAATTGTTTCCTCCTGCACGGCGTCCTAGAGGTATTATTTAGTCGAGCGCGAAATAACAGGTTGCGCGGCGAGAAAAGAAAAAAGAAAAAGAAAAAAGAAAAAGAAAAAAAAAAAGAAAAAAAAAAGTGAAACACCGGCGCAGATTGTTGGCGGCCGGGCCTTATAATTATAAATTACTCGTAATACAGGGGCAATTTGTAGTTCCCTTCGTCCACGGGTTCGCCTCGCAATTATTCGGTGGATGCGTCTAGAAAATGATTCACGGCGGCGATCAGAAATGAGGGGTAAAAGAGTTTCTCGGTTCGTTCTACGTGTGCGCGAGTACGCCGCGTCCAAGAATTACTCCGCGGCGTATCTGTTCGACGGTCGTTCTCTCTCGGATCGCTCGTTGTAATTGGAAAATTCGTTCGCTCGAGGGCGTGCACTCCTCTCCGTAGCGTGCATTTATCAGGTCAGCCCCATAAATAACGTTGTTTCTTGCGTTCCGGTAAATGAAGACGGATATATCTTGTTCATGCGGCATGCATGCGAGATACTTTTTCGATACACCGCCGTCCAAGGCCACGCAGATCCTTTCCCAGCGGCAGACAGCGCCTGAAAAGGGAACGAAAAATAATTGCAAGCGAGATTCGTCGTGTCACACGCAAAGATTCCTCGATATTATTATTATTATTATTGTTAATTGGTTCGTTGAGACGTCAGGATAGAATTCTGACAGAAGGAACCAGGTTGATCAAATCGTTTCAACGACAGTCGTTTATTTATTTTGTTGGTTTTACCCGTATCCGCGGATAATTACGCGAATCGTATGAAACTTTTCAGCGTTATTTTCTGTGCAATATAATTCGTTGGAAATTTCCTCTCGGTAAAGTTTAAATCAACGCGTTACGTGTTACGGACGACGACGACGACGTATAAATCCTTGATTCATTATTTCGCATCGTAACTGTCGCGAATAACCTTTGCGCGAATTTCTGCGCGGCGCGCATTGGATCGTTATTTCGCGTAAATACGCGATTCTAATCGATTAATCGCTTTCGTAATAATTTGGGTCAATTATCGCTCGTTTTGTACGAGACCAGCAACCGTTCCAATACTTACCAACGACGCCAACGTCCATGCTCTGGCACGGCCGGAATATATATATATATATTATAACCTTATATTTATCGTGAATACAAACACGTCCGATAAACCTCTTAACCAACCAAAAGGATACACGAAAATGCATAAATTACGCGTTTAAATCTTTGGTAACGACATCGAGTTAATAAAAACATTTGATATCGAATTTACGTTTACAGGCAAGAAGTAATTACACGCCTCTTAACCGGATACTTCGCTCCGAGAGAGATTATTCGCAATCCGACGTCTTTTAACGGATTCAGAAATATCGCGTTCGTTTACCTTTATCCGTCAAAGAAGAAGAAGAAGAAGAAGAAGAAAAAAAGAAAGAAGGAGAGGAGATCCAACGCGATCGCGGGAGAAGTGATTTTCTAGGTTTTCGCTGCAGTTGACGGCGAGAAAGAGAGGAGGAGAACGGCAGTCCGAAGTAATTAGCAATTTATCGTTGTCCACGGTTGGTCGGGCTTCCTCGAAGCATCGCTGATCCGGTTGAGTAATCGCGGCAATATACACAAGCGAGGTCGCTTTGTTGCTGAAATCGGGAAGTTTACGGCGAAGTTGCGATTTTAATTGCAATTAAATTCCTGTCGTCGCGTCGATGCTAATTTCAAGAAAAGCGTTAACTGTATCTGACATCGAGCCCGACAGCGGAATAATATCTTTTCCATCCCGAAGATTCTTACACTCGTATATTTATATTTTGTATAAAGCGATTTTATTCCGATATATTCCAATCTACTACGTTTACTTACTCGCAGGACCGCGAGTGGCAGAAAAATCGCGCGACAGTTGAAAAGCAATTTCAACGAATTATTATCAATCTCCCTGCCAATTTTAACGTGCCAATTTCATTTTTTATTTAAGACGCTTGGGAGTTTTTCGAGAGGAAAGTAATTAGGGGCTTGTTAAAAGTTTCGCAGCGGCGCGCCGCGATTGATTTAACGTCGCGGTTGACATGTTAAAACTTTGCAAAAACATTATAGAGGAACTTTATTAGGAGCTCGTAATCGCCGAGCCTGTCAATTATTCAAATTCATTAAAATGCAACAACCTGAGGGGCTTGCTAAGCATCGAATGCTTCCTCGAGCTTCCTGCCTTTATTGATAAATTGCTGGGACGCTGTCAAAACTCGTCGAATATTTATACGGAGCAAACCATGGGGCCCGGCTAGAGTCTTGTAATAAACCGCTGTTCCGATTGTTTAATAAATAAAATAACATCGAGAGATCGTCGTGTTCGATGTATTATCGAAGCTCATCATCGTTTGCGAAAATTCGTCTGGAATGTTAAGAAGAATATTTAATAAGAACATTCCTCGTAGCGAGCTATTGTAAGATTTAAAGATAAAGTGAGAATATTCCTCGCAATTACAGTGAAAAGCATTGTACCAATGAAAAAATTCTCGATAATTTGGAATTTCGTAGAAAGAGATCACACAACGATCCACTTCGTTTCATTTTAAAGCGTGAAGCCTATACTTCGACAATCGTGAGTTTGTCCTTTTCGATGAGTATTTTACATAACGCAGCGGCTGGAAAATTGAAGACACGAAATTCTCTCGAAAATTCAAACATGCGCGAAAATATCGAAAATTTTCTTCATAAATCCACCATGGTCTTGAAAATTGAAATTTCTTCTTAAAACTCGCTGCACGAATTTTTTTTCATCTTCGCCGTTTTGTCGAGCTTGGAATTTCTTGAATTTTTGTCGTACGACCCTAATACTCAAACAGCACGGATAAAATTGTACGACGAGTTTCAGAGAAGGTGAAACTTCAATCTTCAAAACGATGGATCCAATCGTGAAGAGAAAATTTTCAGATAATAGTTTGAATTTTAACAATTTACGACAAAAATGTGTCTTCAATTTCTCATCCACTACGCGATGTAAAACTTCAAAATAAACGAACTCACGATCGTCAAAGCGGAAGCTTCGTTCTTAAAAAATGAGACCAAGTGGATCGTTGTACGATCTTCTTTCAACAAAGCTGTTTAAATCGTTCACAATCTTTCATTGCCATTGATGCAGTTACGTACCTCTCGTTGCGAAATTTCCGACGAATGACTCTCTACGTCAAATTACCGTTCTCTGTTCCGAATAAACAACGATGCTCCCCGATTCACGTTTCAAACGATCCCGCGGAATAATTAGCAGCGCAATTTGCTCCGCGCGGAAACGAACGCCAGTCAGCAATAAGTGATAAAAAGTAAATCGCCTGTGTAACACCCGTGTGTACAATTTATCTCGGCGTCGTGTCTAGCAGATTTCAATTTAGATCCATTAAAATGCAAATTAGAGACGGTATTTGTTCAGACAGGGTTGTTCAGATCTGCGCGCGTTCTTCGTGCGTTTCCCCACTCGCGCCAAAGTACACGAGCAAAGATTTGTCGCGGCGTCGAGCAACAACAGCCCTTCCGGTTCGTTGGTTTTTCTTTGATCCGTCCGTGTTCCGTTTCGCGCTCAGCTCGTTAACCAGCCGAGGATCCGAACGAAACCAGTCGATCTTGTTCCGCGCGATAACACGATCTCGCGAAAGCTCGATCAGCCCAGTGACAAGCGATATCGTCGATAACGATCGAGAGCCACGTACAATCTCTGAGTCGCTGTATCTCGACTCGTCCGCGCGGCTTACGTCGGCGCCTCGTTATTTAAAAGCGAAATTTGCAATTTACAAGGCCTCTGTTATTTTCAGCGTTAATCAGTCGGGGAACGATAGAGCGATATTTTTCAGGAATTTTCCACACTCTCCAGGGCCGTGGAACCCTGACGGAAAAATGGCGTTGCGTTGTTCCATTGTCAGTTGGTCGTGTTAACCATTGTGATCGATAAACGACTCGTCGATGGGAAATAATTGCCGGGTGATCGAGTGGAGCCGATCTCTCTATCGGTAGCGCGCCGCGACAGTTAATAAACACGCGCCACGCGATTTCTCGGAGCGTGGGAAATTTCTTTCCCTTGGGGAAAAATCGAACCTCGGCCGTGGCCAATCTTAAAAAGTAAATTTATGCTGGCAGGACGATTTACGCTGGTTACGTCCTGTGTAGTCTGGCGGACAATCTCAGATCACGTTCGAGAAACAAACGCGCGCGCGGAGCGGGTATTACCGGGTATTACGAAACGTTCGATCGAACGTTCGTCGTTCGATAAACATACAATCCCGCCAATTTTCTCTCTCCCTCCCTCCCGCCCGTTTTCGCGAGCCTAACGTTATTAAAACTCGATCCCCTTTATAAACAACGAGGTTATCAAACCCGCTGGTCCGCGGGCGAACGTTTCCTCGCTGATGCTGATCGCTCGTTTCGGTCCGAGCGTTCGAGTAAACATCGCCCCTCCCGATACTCATTACGCTCGCCAATATCGTGTAACCCGGCTCTGTGTGTGTGTGTGTGTGTGTGTGTGTGTATGTGTTCACACACGACGACGAAAATCGTCGTTCGTGCGAAACTGGTTAAATTCGTTTTCGAGGTTCGAGCGTCAAAGTCGATGTCAAAGTCCCAGAGTGTGTCGATTGTCGCGAAGTATCTTCTTTTTTTTTTTTTTTTTTTTTTTTTTTTTTTTTTTGTTTAATGGACACTCTCGAATTCAACTGGACTAGCGTACGACAATTGAAAACATTCGTGGAAAAGTTTCGCGGGCGACGACATTTTGGGCGAATTGTTCGCGAAAGAGAGGACAGCATAGAAATTAATTATGACGGATATACCGCGCGATATCACGAGTGAATAGAACGCGTTGTCTGTACGAACGCGCTACAGCAGCTGTGTGCCAGCTATTTATTTTCATTTATATGATTTAACTGGCTTTCCAACCGGCGAGCGGTGGATCCTGGTTCATCCATCAAGCCGATCTCTCTAGGAATTGATAGGACTGCTACGTTGACGCCGGCCGCGTTTAACGACCAGCGAAATTAATGAAATTCTAATTGTTGGGAAGTTTGATTGACGAAGCACGGTCGATTAACCGTGGTAACGCTATTAAATTTTATCGAGTCGGCACACGAGAGAGGCAACGCGCTCGCCTCGTCGATCGATGAACTTTTAGAGAAAATAAAAGTCAGCGTGTACGATGGAAATAGGAGGAAAAAAAAAAGAGAGACCGGAAAGTGCATTAAAGCGGTTCGCTTCAAACAAGTTAAACGGCGCATTAATTGTCGTTCTAACGATTGATTTATTCTCGCGAAAGTTAATTTAAAATACGGAAAGCAGAATCGAATTGAACGGATAGGGAGAGAGAGAGAGTGAGAGAGAGAGAGAGAGAGGAGCCATGCATGTGCTATGTGCGTTTCGATATCTCTGTTTTTAATTGAAAAAGAAAGTTTCGTTTGTCAGAAATTTGCTTTTTTATTAGGAAACGTATCCGCTTTAATCAACCGTGGTTTCGAAGCGAGCATAATTTTTCGATATGACACGCGACGAACATAATTGCTCTTTATTACCGTACAGCATCTTTATTATCATAATGCTGGCGGT